CGGCGTTAAACCATACTCATTCACTCCCTATGATCAGTTATCACAAGTGATACCCATCCGTGGCATGTGTCGACATCCACGAGATAAACCGTCACGTCATACACGAGATACCTTGTCTGCTCATCGGTCAAACTATACAAAACAATGTCTGTATTTCGTGAATAATACTGATATGGCGGCTTGTTACTGTTGTAAGGTTAGATTTCACAGTGTAAAGCATTTTGTTTTGAGTGTCGAAAACGAATTTCCAGAAAGGTGCTACCACGTGCACGAATCATCCACGCCGGAAGAGCCAAGGAAACGGTTGCTAAGCAATGGCATACGAATCACTCATGCCGGTAGAGCCATGGAAACGGTTGCTAAGCAATGACATACGAATCAGTCTCCCCGTTAGAGCCATGGAAACAATTGGTAAGCACTGAGACATGAATCACGTCGGTAGATCAAAGGAAACGGTTGCTAAGCAATGGCACACGAATCACTCACTCCCTTAGAGCCATGGAAACAACTGCTAAGCACTAATACATGAATCACGTCGGTAGATCCAAGGAAACGGTTGCTAAGCACTGATGCATGAATTACTCACGCCAGTAGACCCAATGAAACGGTTGCTAAGCAATGGCACATGAATCACTTACTCCGTTCGAGCCATGAAACTGGTTGCTGTAAGCACTGAAACACGAATCCCCTTCTTAGGTAGAGTTATGGAAATGGTTGCTAAGCACTGACACGCGAATCCCCTTCTCCGATAGAGCCATGGAAACGGTTGCTAAACGCCGGCACACGAATCTTCTTCTCTGATAAAGCTAAGGAAAGCGTTGCTAAGCACTGATACACGAATCACTCATACCGGTAGAGCCAAGGAAACGGTTGCTCAGCACTGGCACACGAATCCCCTTCTCCGGAATAACCATGGAAACAGTTTCTGAGCACCTGCACACGAATCTCCTCGAATTCCCTTCGCCTGTAAAACCATGGACACGATTGCTAAGCACTGGCACACAAATCCACTTCTCCAGTAGAGACGGTTGCGAAGCGCATGTGTTGCAACGTTTTGGCGCAAATCCTCGCCCGGTTATCAAACACTGGTATTTATATTTCAGTTGGAGCCAGCAAGTTCCCCCTGTAAGTGTAAGAGTCAAGATTAAGAGTATATTAAGTAGGGATCATTTAGACACAAAAATAAACAAGCATAGGTCCTTTGCGTAGGAAATGTCAGGAGCATTTGCGGAAACAACTTCAATGCGAGTCTTATTTACTAACAAATGAAACGGGACTTAAAGACAGTGAAAGCCCGTGCAATCAAGTCATTGCGACATCACGTTATCCGCAGTTCGAGACAAAAAGGCCATATTGTTACAAATCGTCTCCAGTCCGCAATCTTTAAATTCGGTTTCTGAAATTAGGCAGCTTATAAACTAAGAGTGTCTGTCTGTCAGACAAGAGGTGGAAGCCAGTGCAGAGAGACCACAGGCATCACACGAGGCTGAGGTAACTGGGCTATTGGATGGGGAGACGCATCTTCCCGGGACAAGGGAATTAACTGACTTTAAAAGTCAAGTTTCCACCCTTGCCGAACAAGGCTGGAATTTCTGGGCTCGATCGTAGCGCCACCAGTGGCAATTACGGGTTATGTCTTTTCTATGGTCCCCCTACTGACCAATCAGATTCCACATCTTATATCATTTGCACTTGCTTCAAACAAAATGGCGGCGTCAGGTCGACGGGCCTTACCTCGCAAAGTGCATCATATCACTTGAGCACCTTGATTAAAACATGAAAAGACTTGGAAAATATCTGTCGACGCGCAGTTAACAGTACACACTGCAAATCCTGCAATCGACCGAATTCGGCAGCTGCCATGTTGTTTCTGAACAGGATGTCGATATCGTTACAGAATTTTGATTGGACTCTGTATAGACTCGTTAGTCCAGCCAAAATATAACTCCTTAATTCTAACCTATTTCGGCAAGGGTGATAAACTGAACTTTAAAGTCAGTTAACTCCCTTGCCTCGGGAAGATGGGGAGACAGGGCGTCTCCATGTCTACAATCGTACATTTCTAGCAAGCCTTTTTCTGTGAAAAGACAATACCGGAACATTTCCGGTATTAATAAAGGTTGGAATATTGCTGGGTGTAGCGTAAACAACAATCAAAACAAATATAAGCATCGTTATGATTTTAACCACGTACCATTAAATTAAAACCAGGGGATATTATATGCACTACCTACCCCCTGGCTAAACAGGATAGACCACAATACATACATATTTATATATACATGTCATAAATATCCACACGCGTCGAGTAACTTCTAAAGTTCCACGATATAAGAGGATGGGAGTTTACATTGGACACAATTACTAAAAAATAGATCACAGCTATTCATTTTCCCGAACTAGCAATTGTAAACACCGATAGTGAGAGAAACAGGAAGTAGATTCGCAATTCAATGGTCCGTTTCTGGGAAAACCTTGCAGGTCTTCCCCGAATCCTGTTCCTATCACAGACTGAATAATTAATCAACGTCGTAAAACGATGGGACTTATCACTTTCGCATACTTCGGGGTCGGTTCCCCAAGATCCGTTCTCAAGTAATGACAGTCATAAAGTACACGTCCGCCTCAATAATGCCCAGTCATGAATGAATTATTAAAACAGAATAAAGCCCACGAGAAAACACCTAGACTAACGCTTCGTCTCTGAAAACATATAAGTTTGGTAGAAATACACAAACCGCTTTAAATTGTGATAAGTGATATTCAGATAATATTGACACCAAAGTGAAAGTGAAATATAGCAGTCTTGAGCCTGATACTGACACCAAACTGAAATATAGCAGTCTTGAGCCTGATACTGACACCAAACTGAAATATAGCAGTCTTGAGCCTGATATTGACACCAAACTGAAATATAGCAGTCTTGAGCCTGATACTGACACCAAACTGAAATATAGCAGTCTTGAGCCTGATACTGACACCAAACTGAAATATAGCAGTCTTGAGCCTGATATTGACACCAAACTGAAATATAGCAGTCTTGAGCCTGATATTGACACCAGACTGAAATATAGCAGTCTTGAGCCTGATATTGACACCAGACTGAAATATAGCAGTCTTGAGCCTGATACTGACACCAAACTGAAATATAGCAGTCTTGAGCCTGATATTGACACCAGACTGAAATATAGCAGTCTTGAGCCTGATATTGACACCAGACTGAAATATAGCAGTCTTGAGCCTGATACTGACACCAAACTGAAATATAGCAGTCTTGAGCCTGATATTGACACCAGACTGAAATATAGCAGTCTTGAGCCTGATACCGACCCCAAACTGAAATACAGCAGTCTTGAGCCTGATATTGACACCAAACTGAAATATAGCAGTCTTGAGCCTGATACTGACACCAAACTGAAATACAGCAGTCTTGAGCCTGATACTGACACCAAACTGAAATATAGCAGTCTTGAGCCTGATACTGACACCAAACTGAAATACAGCAGTCTTGAGCCTGATACTGACACCAAACTGAAATACAGCAGTCTTGAGCCTGATACTGACACCAAACTGAAATATAGCAGTCTTGAGCCTGATATTGACACCAGACTGAAATATAGCAGTCTTGAGCCTGATACCGACCCCAAACTGAAATACAGCAGTCTTGAGCCTGATATTGACACCAGACTGAAATATAGCAGTCTTGAGCCTGATACCGACCCCAAACTGAAATACAGCAGTCTTGAGCCTGATATTGACACCAAACTGAAATATAGCAGTCTTGAGCCTGATACTGACACCAAACTGAAATACAGCAGTCTTGAGCCTGATACTGACACCAAACTGAAATATAGCAGTCTTGAGCCTGATATTGACACCAAACTGAAATACAGCAGTCTTGAGCCTGATACTGACACCAAACTGAAATACAGCAGTCTTGAGCCTGATACTGACACCAAACTGAAATACAGCAGTCTTGAGCCTGATACTGACACCAAACTGAAATATAGCCCTAAACCAACTACTCTCAAGACCAATAAACATTCTGTGCTAAGTTAGAGATAAATAAATGGAGGTTTCGATCTCGCTTCAGAAACAAAGCTATGGCGGCTAATGGGGCCAGGGTATTTAGCATAACAGAGTAGAGATATAACACCCTGGCTCATCGAGGATGGTATACTTAACATGCTGTACAGAGTCTCAGTATCGTATTATATCTATTATATACACAACATATATGTATGTATTTTAGTATTGTACTTATTTTGTAAAGATGGAAAACAAATACAACCTAAGCTAAGTACTGTCTCTATGAAGGCATATGTACACTTTTAAGAAATTAATAAATATTTCCTCTACCATAAAGACAATATGAATACTTAGGGTAAGTATTGCCACAGTCTTGTACACAAAGTATGTCCTGTTGGAAAATCCCCAGTGAATAACACCAAGACTTCACTAATAATTCTTGCATATATTCATCACAGATTGTGATGCACTTGGACGAGGAAGCACAACACTCTATGAAATATACTACACAAAAGAAGTTATAGAACAATCAACTCTTTCAAATTACTATAGTTAATGGAAGAGTTGAGAGTTCTTTAACTTGTTTAGGGTAGTATACTATCAGCAATAATAGCTATCCTGCTTCCATAATATCCCTGATCACAACAGGGCCCACTTGCATAAAGCGATCTTAGCGCTAAGATGATCGTAACTCCCATACTTTAAGATAGGCTTACGATCGTCTTAGCGCTAAGATCACTTTGTACAAGTGGGCCCTGGGTGGCGTTGTACAAACAATCTTAGCGCTAAGACAGTCGTAAGTCTATGATAAGGTATGGGAGTTACAATCACATTAGCGCTAAGATCGATTTGAAAAAAAATGCACCCTGGGCGCCTGTAACCATGGTAACCTGGGGTACCTGGTTGGGGCACTGTAGGGGTGAAGTCGGTACCCTCTTCGCTGCAGCATAGTTCAAAACTAACACAGAAAGTATATATTTCACATTTTATTAAAAATAAATTATTCAAGTTATATACACAACTCATCTAACTACATAACAAAAACAATCTATTTACAAAAGCAGATTTGCTACATCAACTCATTGGCAAAATTATTGCACAATTTGTCAACAATATCTTGGATCTTTGAGAACCTGGGTTCCACAAAGTGACCTTCGCACTGTGGTAAGCCTGAAAAGGCATGGGAGTTATGACCACTTTAGTGTAAAGATCACTTTATGGAATGTCCCTGGGTCAATAGCCAGGTTCATTAAAAAAGTAACTCAATTATCATGATTATTTGGTATTGATGGATTATTCTGTGAAAATTAGTACTTTATTAAAATATATTAAGTTTATTTATGTAGAAACAACTTTAAACTTAAGGCCAAATTTTTTATATTGTAAACAGACTTTTTCCCCAAACAAATTATCCTATTTTTCATATCAAGTTCTCTGCATCTGTTGGTTTTGATTGGACATTACAGCAAAATCTGTATTAAATGCAGGACATTTTCCATGGTATAACTATTCACGTGTTCTCTTGTCATAGAGCTGTGACACTATTAGCTGTATTCAGTGACCAGAGAGTATTCATTATTTATCATTCAATAAGTTACTTTTTCTAAGAGTTTTAGAAACCGTGTCATATCATATTGCTTGTCAAAACTAGAGTGGTCAGGAATATCAAATATATTTAAACTATTTTTATCTATTTTTGTTCCTCCTCTGGTCTGTCATTCAATAAATGAAAACAAGTATGAGCTAACAAGTTTTTTAACATTAAGATGAGGGCTATTTTCTCAAAATTGTCTGCAACAGCCTCGATTAACTGCCAGTGACAATGTTTTGAAAACATCCCATCTTAACTTTGACTTTTAATTATTTAGTGCAATTCATAAATAATTCAGAAATTTCAAGTAAAATGAATTGCAAGTTAGTTAAGCTTTGAATTTTTAATCAAGTTGAACAGATATTTTAAAGCGTACACAGATGGACAATATTTGTCATATGCTCATAAACCCAAGTGAGCTAAATTAATATTTATGATGGGGGAAAGCACGACTTTGAACCCTCCGTGAAAAGAGCTGATGCTTTGGGGACAGGGACATGAGAAAACGTTTTCCTTCACGATTTATCTATAAATAGATATTTTTTAAATATTCATAACAAAAAGTAATATTTTGAAGACTAACATAAACCAAAGATCCAAGATCAACACTGACACGTCATCACATGAAATGGCTGAATGTAGGTGGCGCTGAACGGAATTACGCCTGGTGTTGGACCCTTAACACCAAGATGCCGAATATTTATCGACATCAACTGCTTTGTGAATGTCTTAGAACTTCAACTGATCACATCGTCTCAATTGTCTATAGGAGTCCTTTGATTAGTTTTCATGGAACCTCAACTCCGAGAAGAACCACGGCTTCATTTGCTGTCTGGAAGGTGGCCTCTCATTGGCTGGTGTTGTGGTTCCACATTTCTGATTGGCTCGCACTCAGATCAGACTGCACAGCTCTAATATCCCTCGGGCTGGCCTTGGAGTGTCTTTGTATCAACTACACACGGGTAGTTATAGTGTTTTCCTCATCAAAATGAGAATCTCGAAATTTACCAACTCTGTCGTAAAGCCGGCTTTCCTCTATCGCAACAACGGCTCACCAGCAATGCAGAAATCATCAATCATCTGTAAAGATGAGGAAGATACATAAGTATATGTATTACACTTAGGTCTTTTTTCAAAGTTCTTTTAATTCAATCGTTTTTTAACTAGTCAATGACAATGAAAAAAGATGAATAAATCACATTGATTGGTAAATATTTACATATTAAACTTGGTATGTTCTTGTCAACGTACATCTTCATCTTCATCCTCTGTGTCATCCTGCAAGCTGGAACAATCGGCGCCATGGGCTTGGAGAATTCCGACAACATCTCCGAACTTTCTTCCTGCAGCCAGGACAATGGGGGTCAGCCCACCGTATGTACAGCTGTCAAGGTCAAGGCGTTTGCATCCAAGGAGAAACTCCAGCAGAATTCGGTTTCCAGTCTCAGCAGCATAATGAAGAACAGTGCGACCACTTTTGCCATCCTGCAGAGACAGAATTACATATAAAAATTAATTCAAAACTAAGATGTTGGGTTGAACAATACATCTTAAATAGATCTCCTATTTAGGAAAAAAATGACCAGAGAGAGAAGACAATGTATAACAGACAAAATGATGTTGACTTGTTTGTTTCTGATGTGAGATTAGCTTACCTGGGCGTTAACTTTGGCTGCTTTCTTGATGAGCGACTCCATGACCCTTGTGTGTGTTCCAAGGGCGGCGAGATGGAGACAGGTATGGCCTGAAACAAACAAGTCAAAACATCAGCATCATCATACAACTGTTAGTCTGCATGTCTAAAAATTATCATGATTCCCGATTTGGTGTTATAACACCAATATTTCACAATAAACTTGTAGATTCAATAATAATTTACACTGAAATGCATGGTACTTTTATATATTTACCTTCATAATTTTTGGCTTCGAGGTCCTGAGGTACCCTCTGGTAAGGGATTTCGTATTTGTTTTCTTGTGTTTCTTCATAGCAAACTGGTTTCAACAAATGGTTGACAATCTCCTGGTAACCTTCGCGGGTTGCTATGTGAAGGGGTGTGTTGCCATGGAGATCTCGAACATCAACAGAAGCACCAGCAGCCATCAGTCTCCTGACAATCTTCTCCTGTCGTGTGATGACGGCAAGGTGAAGGGGTGTTTGAAGAAGAGTGTTGACCAAGTTTAACCATTCATGATTTGGTGCCAAGTTGATCAGCTGCAGTGCAATTGACTCAGCCAGTTGAATGATTGCCATGTGAAGTTGTCTGTAAATCAAAGTATCAAATAAATATCTCGCTCATATGTTAAATTAATAAAAATAATATTTCCAAATGTACATTTTCAAAAATATCTTTTCCTGTGTAATATTATATAAACGATAATGTCACCTTGTTCCACATGAATATATGAAATGTAAAACACGTACTTAAAAAAATATGATTGTAAAATTAATCGAAAAATACGGACTTAATTACCCCGGGAACGCCCCCATTTTTTAAGTTGCATAAATTTCCCATCATCAATGTAAGCCCTATTACTGATCTCAGCTGGGATTGTTTGGCTCACGTCACCAGGACGCTAAATGTACGCCCTGACACAAACGGCTATCTATGACGCATTTGGACTTTCCCGTGACAAAAGATCTCTAGGTTGACTACGTCGCATTTTGGGTCTTTCCACCGCGCTATTTGCGAACCCACGTAATAACCGACACACAAAGGAGACTTTGACCTCCATGGCTGCGCAAAACTTTACTGCGCATATAACCTCGCTTCAACGGCCCGCTGCACTGCCCTGCGCCTCCATTAAACTACAGCAGAGCAAAACCCTTTGTCCCTTTCGTGTGCATTAAAATAAGTAAAATTAAGAACAATGAATAAACATTTGCACTTACGTGTCGCCATCGTCGTCTTGCATGTATGCTTCTATTGCTTCCTGTGAAATCCCGGGTATGTTGACGGGCCCTCCTTCTTCAACTGACAAACCAAACTCTCCCCATGTTTTGTGAATGTCTGTCATAGATTTACTGTGATATCCATCGTCTTCGTGGTGTGTTTCCAAGCACTTTTTGTATTCTGACGTAATTTCTGGCTCCGAAATCTGCATCTTGGTAATTTCCTCAAGTAAAGACCCGTCCACCATGTCATTGTCACAAACATCGTCCACCGACTTCAAGCTCTGTTCAAATGAAAATATCCCAGAATCCTCTCTCTGTCCCTCCGTCTTCGCCGAGGAGTTATTTAACTTCTTGATTTCTTGTCGAATATTCTCAAACCCACAACGGATTCTTGCTTGTGAATTTGGCTCAACCATCGCGCAGTCAACTTGAAGATCGTCCTTATCCTCCATATTGACACAGTCGGCAGTGCGGTACATGACTACGTGTCTGTACTGTAGTAAAGCAAGTGATGCTGTTCCAGTTCACAAATCGGATAGAACTTCAGTCCACTGTTCACAAATATACCCCTGAGACTGAGTACACGGGTGTTATATACTATACAATATGGTCGGTAAAACCCGAGGGAAGTGAGACCAGGATAAATTCACTAGCCCAGATATTGGAGCTAAAAATTCACGTGACATGTAGGGCCTTGTAAGGAAGAAGGGGAATCCCCTTAGTTGTGTGCAGTCATTGGCTGGGCGTTAGCGTACTCAAGCGTGTAGCTAATACCAGTAAACAAGTAAGACCTCCTTGAATGAATGCACTAAAAGTGACTACTGTTCATATTTATGGTGTTTTATGTCAAAGTGACAATATTATCAAAGCCCTAGGTAAAATTCACGCAGCAGTAAATAGAATTAACTGAGACACACACTTGTTGTTTAGTTAAATTAGTTAATAGTATATATATGTTGTCTCGCTTAACAAGGAAGCGATTCACATGAATTAAATGTGATATTAAGATAGTAAATATGACACCCTGCAGTCAAAAATATATTACAAAATCTAAAACGTTAAATAAATTCTTGGAAAAGTACAACTGAATCTGAAATAATGTTCGTTTTCCTAATATAACTTTCTAATCAACATGGTGGGTTTTATACAATGCGTTGTGATAGAACGGATGTTAAAAATGTCTTGATTTTTATCAAAACCACTTCTTTCTTACCGGGAATTTGGTGCAGCTTGGCAAGTTTCGCATGGGGTATTGATTTTCAACGCAGAAGAAATGGTAAATGAATATCCGCGTGGCTATATTTCTCTATGTTTCTTAATTAAATTTTAATCGTTTTTTATCCACATTTTGTTATGCTAATTTATTAACATTAAGCCCCATTGCAACCTCTCTGTGTGAGTTTGACTGGTTATGTGTCAACTCACTTTCAACTCAGATTAGTATAGACCGCCGACCGGTCAAGTCACCGCGTGGGCGACCATGACCGACTCATTCATCATTCGGATTCATCATTTAACAACTCTCATTTGTCTACTACCTACACAAGCCCCGGAATGACACGAGTGGTCCCGAATGGGTCGGAATGTTGAGTAGTCCAACGGGTTATATTTGAACTGGGTAATGAACCAGAGCCGGTGTAATAGGGCTACTTGATCATGTAAATATGTGTGTAACAATTATTAAATATGGGATTGGCTCGATGTGGGCGATACGTAAATTTTTATGGGATTACAGTGACCGTTCTGTATTTCTGTCCATATAGTGTATAAACGGCAGTGATACATATTTTATAGTTTATTATAATATCTTGGGTAACCCGTTTTTTTATGTCACGCGAAAACAAATATTTCTGTATGTATTCCGATACTATGGGCCCTCGTATCATCCAAAAAATTCTGTGAAAGTATGCAAAATTTCAAAGTTTCATTTGAGTACCCCTTCACTGAAAATGGCGTTATAAATAGGCAGAAGAACCACACATTTCTCTGTGACAGAGTGATTGAGGGAGTACAATTTACTGCTATATTCCGGACACATCGACCCGAGGGCCGGGCACCACCACTGGACCTGACATGTCACTGAGCACGTGTGGGGAATCGAACACAGGCCATCCCCGCTACCCACACCCTCGTAATTACAGAATCGTGCATTCAGCTTGAACATAACTTACGGCCCGTGAAGATCCGGGGTAGAATAGGTCTTCAGCAACCCATGCTTGTCGTAGAAGGTGACTATGCTTGTCGTAAGAGGCGACTAACGGGATCGGGTGGTCAGGCTCGCTGACTTGGTTGAATCATGTCATCGATTCCAATTGCGTGGATCGATGTTCATGATGTTATTCACTGGATTGTCTGGTCCAGACTCGATTAAATACAGACCACCGTCATATAGCTGGAATATTGCTGAGTGCGGCGTAAAACAACAAACCAACAAACCACGTGTGGGGAATCGAATCCGGACCATTAGTCAACGTTCAAACAATAATGCTACCGCAGACCCTCTTAATTTCAGAATGAAAACATGAATCGTACATTTAGCTTGAACATACCTCACACGTTATGATTTTGATCAATCTGTAGGCATATCGTTTTCCTGTATATTAACAGCTACACCTGCACGTGCTATTTTAGTTAGTACCAATAGATTAATTAATGTTGTAAAAAGTCTCACTGAAAACTGTTAGCATTATCACAATGCTCCATGTTCTTATCACATCTATTAGTGTACAGTAGCACTAGCGGTATACGGGGGCACAGGTGGCCCAGTCGTCTAAGGCGCCGCGATTCGCTGTGCAGAGTTGCGTCCCTTGGGCACGCCAGAAACCTATGATTGTGGGTTCGAATCCCGGTTCGCCCCGATTATGTTTCTAGGTTTGTCAGCACCATACCCGTGCTCGTGGGTTTCACCGAAGTGGTAAACGTCTGAGACCTGCATCACTTCGGGCTTTCCTCCCACATTAAGCTGACACGCCGCGATATAACTGGAATAATGTTAAAAGCGGCGTTAAACCTAACTCACTCACTCACTAGCGGTATACAATGTATCACACAGAGTTGCTTCCCTTAGCCGTTCAAGGACCCGCTGATCACGGATGCGAATACAAGATTCGTCCTTCTTATGACGTTTATCTGTCGGCCCAAAACCCGCTCGTAGACCATAATCGTCATTATTATTGAAATAATAACCTTCTCGATTCATCATCATCATCATCATCATCATCATCATCATTGTCCCAACCAGCATTGCTGCAATCGTTCTTCTCGATTCATCGTGATGATAACCACCAATATCATCATCATCATCATCATCATCATCATCATCATTTATAGCTGGTATCGATCTAATTATTTCATTTACTTCATTATCTACGATCTTGCGTCATCCTCGTCGTCAGTATCATCATTGCCGTCGTCGTCATCGACCTTCTTGTTTCATCAACTTTAAGATCCATTATTAGAATAACATGACGTTTAACTCCACAAAATATGTATTATTAATTATGGTTCATGTTGCAAATATGTCTTACATAACAATCTTGATTTCATGTTCATTCATTTTATCACTTCTTACCTTCGGAATATAAGTAACAATGGCGGAAATGTTAGTCAGAACTTAAGGAACTTCTTCGGAATGTAATCTCCACGACATAGTATCACCTCGTCCTGCACCATGACCTTGGAATATATTTATTTTATGAAAAAATAATAATCGAGAAACTCATACAAAAGCAAGTCTAGCCAGCTCAAGCTAGCTCTATTCCACAGCATAGGGATTATTTATATTTTTTAGAGTCAAGAAGGATATTGTGTAATACAGTATACAACGTTTATAACGAACACTCTTATAACGAACTGACGGATATAACGAACTGTTTTTTGGCCCCGTCCATTTGATGTATATATGCTGTGTATGTGCTTATAACGAACTACGGTTATTACGAACTAAATTTAGTGGTCCCTTTAAGTTCGTTATAACCGTAGTTTACTGTATAAGATTTCAGAGACTAAATGTTAGTCTAAGAATCACCCTGGTTTGCGTCCTGTATTTCCCCACGAGAGAAATAATGATGAAACTTGTTCTCATGGGACACTTAAAGTTGTACTTCCTTGCAACGTTTATTTTTTTTAAATTATTAAATTTTCCAAATATTTTAATGATACCTACTATTCTCCAGTAATCTGTGATAAGCCCCTTGTCGCTTTTCTTGCATTTTGAATGAATTTACAAAAAAAGAAATTTGAGCTTAAACGTTTAGAGGTTTGATTTCAGGAGTACATATATATTTCGATACTTTACGAATATTTTGATAGTTAATGAGAATAAGTTGATATTTTATATATTTATGTATGTATTTGGAAGCTTGATGGTTATAATTCGCTACCTTACGAGTATAGTCCAAACCTCACGAGTACATTATATACTGCAAATAGTAAATATTAATACTGTGCGGGTATATTTTAATTATTTTAACTTCATGGGTATACATTTGGATACGTCATGAGTATACCTTCATACTCCACAGCGTACTAGTATACTCGTTACTTAATGGGTATATTGTGGCAGTAGTGACAGCAAGTATACCACTTCCCCAATCCCATCTGTGGCTTTCGTGTTCTATATTTAGCAACGGGTAATCCCCGGAGGTGGAAAATTTGTGATCGTTTACAGCCTCGTGTGCATATCTCGTGCTAGAGGTCACGTTCGGGTTTTATCCCCCACTTTCAGATTACCTTAATGTTGCAGTCAAATGTTGGGTAGAGAATTGCATCATTTGGTAGAGAATAATCGAGTCTGGACCAGACAATCCAGTGAATAACATCATGAGCATCGATCCACGCAATTGGAATACGATGACATGCATCAACCAAGTCAGCGAGCCTGATACCGTTAGTCGCCTCTTACGACAAGCATAGTCGCCTTTTACGGCAAGCATGGGTTGCTGAAGACCTATTCTATCCCGACCCCTTTAAGTGACAAACCCTACAACTCATTGATCAAAGACAAAGGCAATGCTATGTTGTTTGTTTCAAGTTTAGTTTTTAGACCAGTGATCCCCAATGTGGAGGAAATAGGTTGTACTTTAAACCTATAGACAGTGTTTTGTATTGTGTGTCATTAACGGGGTAACGCACGTGTGCATTCGTCACCACTCGCCCCTTTCCGTAACCTGCAAGAAGATTCGTCTTGTCCCGGAATAACACGAGTTGGTCACGAATGGCACGTGTTGCGCTTGAGTTGTCCGTTCTTGTTGTAATGGACCCTGTATCAGGCGATCCACCTATTGTATCAATTCAATCAACTGTTTCTTAAAAGTATCCCCGGGCAAACACTTATTTTGCAACTAAGTGACGCTTATAAGAAGAAAGGGCTTCACATGGGGCCTCAGTTCGGAGTTAATAGTGTTAACGACTTTTCATGTATTATTCCAATGTCTGTGTAATTATCCTATTGGAAAATGTTATGCAAGTGTTTCGCTTTTGCCAAATCCCTGTGGCTAATTAAAGAGAATTAAAACAAAAAACAAATCTAAACAATGCCGTTTATTAAGCTCCATCCATGGAACAGAGTTTAAGAAGAACCGAATCATTGACAAGAGTGAGTGAGTATGGTTTTATGCTGCTTTCAGTGAGTGAGTGAGTAAGTTTGGTTTAACGCCGCTTTTAACAGTA